GCATACTTTAAAAAGTACTACTTAGCTAAAAAATGCTATTTTAAAAGGAAATTAGTTTTTAAAGCTATATATAGGCTAAAAAATAAAAATAAAGTAAAATATATATAATTTAACTATATAAAGAAGCTAAAAGTTTAATTATTTCTTTTAAAATATTTTTCTAGAATTTTTTATAAACTTTTAAAGTTAAGGGAAATTTCTATAGGCCCTTATACATAGACCCCTACTATGCCTACTTAGGCTAGTCAGTGCCTAAATAGCAATCTATTAGTGCCTGGATAGTAATACTCTTAAGCATTAAGTATATTAATAAGCCTATTATTAATTAGTATTTTTTTTATTTATCTAGTTAGCTAATATAACCTTTAGACTTTTATAATTACTTTTTAATTATTAATATTAATACTAGGGCATAGTTTATTATATTAAATTATTAAAAGATCTTTTAAATATATCCTTATTAATTAAGAATAATTATCTTTACTTACTAATTTTAATAAATTTAGATTTTAAGATAATAATAATATAGCCTTAAATTTATTATAAAAAAATAACTATATAAGGCTTCCTTAAGCTTTAAGATTTTGCCTTTATCTTTCTTAATAAAAAGTAAGTTATTAATATAAATTATAATAAAAACACTATACTTTATATATAGTCTGCTATTTAATATAATAATATAAAAGCCTAGTATAAAAAAGAACTTAGTAAAGGTTTTATATTAGACTTTAAAAGCTTACTTTAGGCTATAAAAGGCTTTCTTTAACTTATATACTTTTTTTATTTTATTTTTAAAGCTAGTTAGTTATTTAATATAAATATCCTCTTTTACCTTTTTATAAAAAAAAGCAGTCTTAATATTTATTTATTCTATCTTTAAATTTAATATAATAATAATAGTAAATAAAGATTTATAAGTTATTAGCTTAATAATAAAGATAAAGGTCTTTATATAGTTAATTCTAGCTATTTATTTAAATTCTTTAACTACTTATCTTGCTTTATATTTTATAACCTAGTTATCTAGTCCTTTTTTAAGTTTATATATTTATTTCCTTTATAAAATATTTATTTTAAGGTTAAGCTTAATAAGGTCTTAGGTTCTGTTTTTCTTTAAAGCTTAGATTTTATTTAATATCCCTTTATACTATTTATTATAAAAAAAGCTATACTTAGCTTTTTTAAATATCTTTAGCTTAATATTTTTAATATATATTTTAGCTAAGGCTGCTAAAGTAAGAATATTAAAAAAAGAGGTAATTATTTTATTAAATAGTAAGGTCTTATTTTATAAAAGATATTATAGTTTAAGATATTTTAAAACTTTATTACTAAACCTTACTTATTTTAAGTTAACTATATATAGCTAAGGCATAAGGACTTTAATAGTTAATTAAACTAAACTATTCTTTTAATATTATTTTTCTCTTATAACTTAATTAAAACCTATTTTATTAATCTAAGTCTTTATAAAGTAAGTGTTATTAATAATAACTAGGATTATAACTTTCTTAAATTTAAAGTATATATTTAATAAGCTAATTACCTTCTTACTTAAAGTTAGTAGGTAATATATACTATTTTTAATAAGGCCTAGTAAAATATACTTAATCTTTTTTTTTTAAGCTTCTTTTACTAGGCCTAAGGGATAAGGTACTAGGCTGCTGTCCTTATAGTTTTAATATTAAGTCCTCTTATTTAAATAGATAAAAGTTCCTATTTAGATAGATATAGTCTATGCGTTATGCTAAATAGTCTATGCACTTAAAATTTCTAAAACCACCTCTACCTTTATATATAAAAATAACTATAATAAAAAATTAAAATAAATATTTAAAAAATACCAGTATTTTAATTATTATCTAATTTTATATATTCCTTTTTTAAAGCTTTTTTTAACTAAATATTTAAGCTATAAATTTAAGATAACTTTTATATAAGATTTTTAAATATAAAATATATATTAATGCACTTAATATTTTTATATTATTTATATAAATAAGATATTAAATTTAAAGTTTTACTTTATAATTTTAACTCTTTATTAAAAGACACTTATTTAAAATTTTAGTATTTTTAAATATAATAAATATAGTTAAGAATTTAAGAAAAAATATTTTAAAAATATCTATATATAGATTTAGTATAATTCTATTAAAATATATTTTTTATATATTTTTTTTATTTTAGTAAAAGCATTTTATAGTTATTATAAATATTAATAGATTTCAGGGTTATTAAGTGCATAGGCTATGTCTGTCTAAATAGGAATTTTTATCTATTTAAATAGGAGGACTCTTAATATTTAATATATTAGGTTATTAATTAAAAATATACTTAAAAGGTGTTTTATTAAAAGCTTAATAAAGACTTTTATTATAAAAGTAGTTAACTATTTTTAGTACTTTTAATTAGTATTTTTTAAAAATATTCCCTTTTATTATTATAAAGAGTAATTTATTATAAATAATAATATTAAAGTTCTTAATAAGACTGTTAAACTAGTGCTATTTTATTAATAATATCTTTAAGATAGTGCTATATAAGGCTGCCTAGCTATTAAATTTATAATTATTAAATTCCTTTACTTTATTAAAATAAATAATCTTATAGTATTATTTTTATAGCTTTTTATTCTTTAAGTATTATATAAAGAATTTAATAAACTCTTATACTCTTTATTTATCTTTAATTACCTTACTTTTATTAAAGCAGCTATAGCTATTTATTAGTATAATTTAATATCTTTACTTATTATAGCTATTTATATAAAAAAGACTATATATATTTATATAAATTAAATTTTTTATATATCTAGTAGTTTATAGCTAACTTTTATATAGTTTTTCTTTTATTTATTTATATAAGCATGCCTTATATAAGCAGAATTCTTATATAATATTTAAACTATTAACTATTTCCTTTAACTTAGTAAAGTTATTTTTATTAAGGTAATTTATTTATTTATACTAAAGATATATATAAAGGTTAACTATATAAAAGATAAAAGTCTAGATTAAAGGCAGATTTAAGTTTAAAGTTACTTTTAAACTTATATATAAGATAAGGGCTTATATAAAAAGAGAGTTAGTTTATAATATAAATAGTTTATTAAAACATTTAATAAAGAACTTAATTTTATTCTTTTTAATTATTTAGTAGTCTTAAGCTATTAATATTTCCTTTTTTAAGTTAAGTAGCTAGGTTATTAAAATTAAGTTTAAATTAAGGGTAAGGGTATATAAAATATTTAAAAATAAAACTATAATAAAGGCATTTTTATTTATATAGTATTTAATTACTATTCTTATTTTTTTAACCTTAATCTTTAAGTTATTAATACTATTTAGTATATTAAAGTATAGCTATAAAAAGCTAAAAATAAAGTTACTTTATTAAAAGGTAGTATACTATTTATAGCTAAAGTTAAAGACCTAAATAGCTTAAAGACTATAGTTTAATACTAGTATCTTATTCTTTTTTTTAAAATATTATAAAGTAATTATTAAGTTTTATTTTTATTTTTATTAATATTAAAAAGGATAAGTTCTTTTTTTCTATTTTATTTAACTATTTAATATTAAAAGAAGCTAGTTAATAATAACTTATTTAACCTTATTATTCCTCTTACTTCTTCTTCTTTTTTAAATAAAGATTTTAATACCTTTTTTTTATATACTGTATTTTATTATAGTAAGTATATTTTAATACCTTTATATATATTATATTATCCTTATTTATTAATATACTTCTTTTATATATTATTAATCCTTATATATTTATTATACTGCTCTTTTATTAAACTTTCTTAGCCTTTATATTATAGACTACTAGGGGGGTCTAGAAGTTAACCACTTCCTGCATTAGCATAGCTTACTACAGGGGGGCTGTTAAATAGGAAAATAGGACCTTAATTTAAAAAAAACATAATATATCTGTCTATATATAAATTTATATAAGGCTAAATATTACTTTATTAATATTATAAATTTAGAATTTTTATATACTACCCTGCTATTTATTTATTAAATAAAGCTATTATTATATAAGCTTATTAGCACTATTATAGCCTATAGCTAGTCTATCTCTTTTATTATATATCTCTTTATTATCTTTAAGTTTAATATTAAATTTATTCTCTAGCATACTATAATTATCTTCTATAACTATTTCTAAGCTATTAGCTTTAATTAAGTATTCCTAATAATTATAAGCTTATTAAAATATATTACTAATAGTAAATTATATTACCTCTTTAATAACCTTATAATTATAGTCCTATAGCTAAGTAATAAAGTAGTATTTAAAAAGGTGGCCTAATAAAAAAAGCTTATAATAAAGATAATAAATCTTATAAAGCCATTCTATTAAATTTAAAAGCTAGCAGCGGTTAGATTTTAACCAGGAAGTATACTAAGGGGGTCTTAAAATTAACTACTTCCTAGTCTAGTATAGCTAGATATAGGGGGCATGCTAACTAGGAAAAATCGCTATTAATTTAAAAGGAATTTAATACCTACTTTATAGTATTAGTTATATATAAGCAGAGGTATCTTTTTTTAAGTGTATAACCTGTTTAATAGTATAACTACCTTGCGCTAAAAAGCTACCTTCCTGCAGTATATTTTAGTATATAACCTCAAGTACTTTTTCCTTTTTAAATTAATAGCGATTTTTCCTAGTTAGCATGCCCTCTATGTCTAGCTATGCTAGACTAGGAAGTGGTTGATTTTAAGACCCCCCTAGTAGTAATACTAATCCTTTAGCAGCTTTTATTTCTTAAATATATCTTTAACCTAAAATAGCCTTATACTTTTCCTTATTATAGACTATATACTTTATAGCTAGTATTATAAATAAGGTATCTTATTATAAGCTTTCTTTTTCTTAACCCTCTTTTTTTTAGCTACTTACTTAGCTTATTAATTATAATTATCTTTAGTAAGTCTAAGCCTTATATTATAAATAGTTAATAAGCTATATTGCCTTATAATTAATATCTAGCTAAGGTGCTTTTGCCTTTTTAAGTTTTTCTCTTTTAAATGCCTTATCTTATTTATTATTATAATACTATTAAGGGCAAGGGTATATATAGCTTTCCTAGCCTTTTTAAATATATAAGAGATAAAAGGCATAAGTAGTATATTAAAGAGAATAAAGGCCTTAATATAGTGCTAAATATAATTATAATATTATTAAACCTCTTATATATATAACTTTAGTATTATAACTATATTCTAGTTATATCTAGTTATATTTTTTAATATTATAATAGTAAAAGGAATGGCTCTTATAATAATAAGCTTATTATTATTATTTTTATTATCTTTATTATTACTTTTATTATTATTTTTAGCGCTATTATTATCTAACCCTGCTATAAAGCTTTTTAAAGTCTCCTTATCCTTATTAATAAAGCCAGGAAGGAGGCTTTTACTAACTTCTTATATTAATAATAATAAGTAGTGCTAGGCAGGCGGTATTAGAACCTTTAGGGGGCGGTATTTTAACTAGACTAAGCCTGTTTAGGAAAGGTTTAGCGGCGCCTAGCCTATTATACTAAAATATAGTGTGTAGTGCTAGTAACTGTAAAATTGTTATATAACGTCTCCTATGCCTTAGCTAATTTTAAAGCTATTGCGATAGTCTTGTTATAATAGAAGGTAACTTCTCTTATATAGCTGACTTCCTCTAGGACCTGGGAGATAACTTCCTTTAGTCTAAGGGCCTTAAAGATAACTTTTAAGACCTTAATAATAACCTTATCTATGCTGCTGCCCTTAACGCTTAATTCGGCACCTTTAATAATGCCTTTAACCTTAGCGATAATAATAAATTTAACCTTAGCGTTAATAATAAATTTAGCCTATTTAATAATAATAACTTTAGCCTTAATGCCGCTCTTAATAATAAGGAAGCTCCTGCTACTGCTACTGCTCTTAATAATAATAAATTTAGCCCTTTTAATAATAATAATAATAATCTCGCCCTTCTTAAGGCACTTAATAACTCTGCTAGCCTTAAAGGTTGCTAAAACGTAATAAAGATTAAAGATAAAGCTAAAGATAAAGAAGCTGTTGTTATTAAAGAAGCTGCTGCTAAAGAAGAAGCTGCTGCTAAGGAAGCTGCTATTAAGAAAGCTGCTGCTAAAGGAGCTGCTGCTAAAGAAGCTTTAGGTTAAGAGATTCTGCTGCTGCTGCTGTTAGGGCTATATAATTTATTTAATAAGCTCTTTAACTTTTTATAGGCGTTTTATTAAGATAATAGCGCTGCTATTATTAAGAAGTCTTCTAGTAATAAAGTTAATATTAATAGTAAGGTTATTTTTATATACTATGTAATTATTTATAACTAGGGAGCCTTGCAGCTGCCTTATAGCGCTAGGCTTAAGAAGATAGTAATTATAAAACTTAACTATTAGTTTAAGCTTATAGCTTTAGCTATTAAGAAGTTATACTAGAAATAGACTTATTATATATTTAAAGGTAGTTATAACTATTAGGGAACCTAGTATCCCTTAGTATATAGCATCTATTACTGCTAGATATAGCAGCAGTATAAGATTAAGAATTCTATATTGCTATATAAGTCCTTTAGCGCCTAGGAGATAGGAGATATTATAAAGGCATAGTCAGCAGCCTAAAGGCTATTATACTTTTTATAAAAAGATATTTATAATAATTAATAATGTATTTAATAGGCTAGACTAGAAGGTCTAATACTAACCTAGCAGTAGATTAAGCTTTTCTAGACTAAAGGCCTCTGCTACTTTATTTACTATAATAATTAAGACCTTTAAAAGGTAAAAGCAGTCTTTTAGATATACCCTTAGTGTAAAGCTATATAGAAACGGTTTCTTAAAGTCATTAGACTTAATAATATATATAAGATAAACTGCTATAAGATATACCTCTTTTAGGTTATTAGGGTCTTTGACTAGAAGTCTGTAGTTAACTTTGCCTTTAGCCTAACTAATATTAAGAAGCAGAAGGGCTATAACTAGCTATATAGCTATCTTAATAACTTCTAGCAGTAGATTAAGGTTCTAGTGCCTTAAGTTATTATTATAGATAAGGAAAAGGCGTTAAAAAACGCGCTTAAGATTATCTTTTTAACCTTATAGCAGCAGCTGTGTTTATTTTATATTAATGCTAATATTTATAGTAAGATTAACTTATAATAGAAGGATAATAATAATAAGGCCCTGGCTAGCGTTGCTATAGTTAATAAGGCTGCAGTTAGTAAGGTTGCAGTTAGTAAGGCTATATCTAATAAGGCTATGGCTAGCATAGCGTAATAGCGACCTTTTAAAAATAATAAGGAAGGTCTTAAGATAGCTTAGAGCTAGGTGGTCTTTACAGAAGATAAGGATAAATTTAAAAAGGCTTAGAAAGCGTTAGTTAACTTCTTCTATAAATAGCAGAGCTTAATTATTAACTATATTATTAATAAATACCTTCCTTATGCAGATTATTTCCTTTATTACTGTATTAAATAATACTGTAATTTTAGGCAGAGGATAAATAGTCTTACTAAGACTATATATAAAGATTTAAAGTTATATCTGCTAACTAGTATAGGTAACTGCCTTTATTTTTATAAGGCTATTCTGTAAATAATAAAGAAAAAAGAATAAGACTATATTTAGACTGCTATAAGGCAGGAGATAAGGTTATAGAATAGCTTTATTAGCTAAGCCTGGCTAAGCTCCTTGCCTATAGAAATAGGCTATGCTATAATTAATTTACTATGCTATTAGTAATAAGTGGCTGCTGCTGCAGCTAAGGAAGGAAGAGCTTTTCCTCTTTATATGCCTAAATCTTGCACTTTTATACAGTAATATGCCCTTCTTTATATTTATAAAATATTACACTAGCTAGATAAGGGTATGCCTTTAAGGAAGGAATCTATTTACTTATAATAGTAGCTAGATAAGCCCTTACTATGTTTCTTTATTATTTTCTATATAATATCTACTAACTAGTTATCTTTTTAAGATTTAAACAAGCTGCTTTTAAGAATATGCAATCCTAATATTATTATAAATTTATAAGGAAGGCTATAGCTTCTTTAGAACAGCTAGGTTCTTGTTAATTATAACCTATAACCTATATTAGGATCTAGTTCTACAGCATAGCTAAGTAATACAGTGCGTTTAATATAGCCACGGCCTTTTTTATTAAGCTTAATCTAGCCTAGCAGCTAGTAACTAACTGTAAGTGTAAGATATATGCTTACTATAGCCGAGATTAAGTTATTATAGTTATTATAGTTATTATAGCTAGCTAGAAAGAGATTATAAACAGCAGTGACTTTTACAGCTAGAGGATCTTAATAAGGATAAGAATAAGGATAAGGATAAGGCTGTAGCTATAGCTATAGCAGCAGCGGCTAAAGCTAACGCTAAAGCTAAAGCAGCAGCGCTGCTATTATTAAGGAAGAAGTAGAAGAGGTTATCCTAGCTATACAGCTAGGCTTATAGGAAGCTTTGCAATAGCTTTATTTTATGTTTTTTGCAATTATCTAATAGAGTTATAATATACTTTATTTAACTATATATACTGTTTTTAATGCTATAACTTTATACTGTATTTTAATATAGCCTGCTAGCATGCATAAACTACAGCTAGATTTAGCTTAGTCTAGTTAAAATACTGCCCCCTGAAGGTTCTAATACTGCCTGCCTAGCACTACTTATAATAATAAGGTATCTTAAAGCTAGTCTAAGACTATAGCTAGGTTAAAGGAAAAATAGCTATATTTTACTTAAGCTAACTTAATTATAGTCTTTTTAACTATTTAAGTATGTATTTCTTAAAAGTAATAAAAGAAGTTAGTTTCTTTAAAGTTTATAATGCTATTAGCTATCTTTTTATATAAGATTTCTCAATACTAAGTCTTATAAGACTAAAAGATGCTTATATTAAGTGGTTAAAAATAGTATATAAGGTATAGTAATAAGGAAAAGAGTATAATATTATATTTAGCTATAAATGCTATAAATTTAATTATTTAGTAATTCTTATAGCTATTTATAAAAAGAATGTAAATATTTTTAAGATTAGCTAGTTTTATATATATCTTAAGAGTCCTCCTATTTAAACTATAGAGAATCTCTATTTAAACTATAATAGTCTATGTATATAGGAAAATTCCTGCGCCTATATCTGTATTATTTATAACCGCATACCTATTTACAGTATAAGCTAATAGCATATTTAGTAGCCTTAACACTATAAACGTTAATATTGCGATTTCTTGCTGTTATTATTATCGTTTTTATTATTATTATTATTACCTTTAAGCTAGATTTAAAGAGCGTGACTGTAGCAGCAGCAGCAGCAGTAGCAGAAGAAGAAAAAGCTAGTAGTAGCTATAGCAGCTAGTCTGCAGAAGAATAAAGCTGCCTTAATTCCCTATATCTTATAACTTTTATTATAACACTATCTTAATAGTATTAACTGCTAGAGCTTTATACTGTATTTTAATATAGGTGTATAAAGAATCCTACCTAGGGCATTAGCCTAGCTAGTAGCATAGACTATTACAGTTTAAATAGGAATTTATTATAGTTTAAATAGGAGGACTCTATCTTAAAGTAGCAGAGCTATTTTAAGGTAAGGATATTAATTATATAGCCCTTTTTACTTATAATAATAATAATATTACTATTTAAGGCATTAGAAATCTAGTATACTAGAATATTAATATCTAAAAGGATAAGGAATAAAGGAATTAAGGCGCTAATAGCCAAGACTGCTTTTATAGCAGTAAGAGAGAGTTTATTATAGGCATTAGTTAAGACTAGCTTATTTATAAAAATAAAAGTCTATAAGTTTATGCCTTTAAGAAGATATCTTATTATAAAGCTAGATTTATTAAAATTCTATATATTTTATTTTTTAACCTTTTTTTTATTAAAATAAATAATATAGCGCTAAGTAAAAGGCCTTAATATTACCTTAATCTTTTATTACCTTTCTTTTTATATTTTTTAATACTAACTTTTATTTATAAAAGCTCTTCTTATAGTATTATATAAAGCAGCTAGCCTATTTTTATAACACCCTCCTCTTATTACTTTTAATATATAGGATAGCTAAAGTATAGTATTAAAAATAATAAAGATAAATATAATAACCTTATATAATCTTATAAAATGCTTAGT